ATACATACATACATACATACATACATACATACATACATACATACATAATGCTTGAGGGCAAGCATTCACACGCATAAAAATAAATACATCGGGCTGGAGAGATGGCTCAGAGGTTAAGAGCACTGGTTACTCTTTCAGAGGTCCTGAGTTCAATTCCCAGCAACTGCCTGGGGGCTCACAACCATCTATAATGAGTTCTGGCGCTCTCTTCTGGTATAAATGTAATAAATAAATAAATCTTAAAAAAATAATAAATACATCTTTATTGGGCATGGAGGTGCATGCCTTTAACCCCAGCACTCAGAAGGCAGGGGAAGGTAGATCTCTGTGGGTTTGAGGCCAGCCTGGTCTACAGAGAGAGTTCCAGGACAGCCAGGGCTATACAGAGATCCTGCCAAAAGAAAGAAAGGAAAAAAGAAAGCGAGCAAGTGAGAAAGAAGTCTTTAAAAAAAAATACCAGACATGGTGGCTCATGTCTGTAATCCCAGCACTCTGGGAGGCAGAGGCAGACGGATCTCTGTGAGTTCGAGGCCAGCCTGATCTACAAAGCGAGTCTAGGACAGCCAAGGCCACACAGAGAAACCCTGTCTTGAAAAACAAACAAACAAACAAACAAACAAACAGTGAAGGACAGCCCAAAAACAAAGTGTCTTACTGAACACTGAGCAGAGAAATTAGCACCTGATACAGCATGCTTCCTTTCCTAGCATGGAAGATAAGCATGTAAGCAGCAAGTAGCTACATGCTAGAATAGAAGCCCTATAGCAGGTTCACATCCACACACCCTCCTGTATTGTAGATACTACATGTATTCTATACTCATCTACAAACGTATTACAAACTGGCAGCAGTGTCATCAGGCTAGGGTGAAACTATGCCTTCTAGTGAGGGTCAAAGAGGACCTAGCTACAACTGCAAAGGAAACCTTTCAAGCAGGGTGTCTATCCACATTAAACTTGCATAACCAAAAAATTAATTAGAAACATAGCATGTCCTGGCTCTTCCTAGATATCCATATCCTGTGGCACAGGGACAATGTACGCTGCTTTTCAAAGGAAAGGCTCACCCAACACGCCTTGGCTCCAGCAAGGCAAGCAGCACCTGCATCCCACTGACCAGGCAGCTCTCCGTCTGATCCCCATCAAACATGTTCTTCAGAAGCTGCTCCACACAGTCCTGCCTGTTGGGCACATGCGGAGGTCACTGCCTGGCAGAGTAGACACACAGACATAATGCAAGGACACTCTCTTCCCCAGAGGATACCACATCACCCTGAGCCAGGTAGGGCCTCATTCTCGCTTTATTCAGATTCAAAGCCAGGTTCTCAAAGCTTGCACGACACACAAGCCCACTGGCTCCAACTCCCTGGACCACCAGGGCTTCCAGTGATATCCCTTCCTGGACTCTGAACCTGAGGATGTTCATCTGATTTTGAATTAGAGATGACAGTGTCATTTCCTGGGTTCAAAACAGGCTCCAAGACATGCCCACCGTACCATGGCCCACTACCACTCACGACTCCAATGCTACGAGGAGGGGGTCTGGCTCCACAGCCTCCTGCAGCTGACTGCCCTGGTCTCTGCCCAGCCTGATGATGTCACAGAGTGCCTGAGAAGCATTTGACTGCCTCTGAAAAGACAAGGGAAACAGGCTCCCCTCAGCAAAAGACACCCATCAGCCAAGTCAATCCTGCTACTATACTTCCTAAACCAGTTTTCTATAAAGATTCCTGAAACGGTTCATTTGAAAGTACTGAGTGTCTGCTTTGTCCATCATCAAGATGTAAATACAGTTAGATTTTTCTTAAGACATCCCCAGGAATTAAAAATAGGACCCAAAGCTCCTCTTTTCTGAGGAAGGGGGAGGGAAAGAGGACTAGGAGAGGAGAAAGGAAGGGACTACGAGGAATGTAAAGTTAATCAAATAAATAAATGAGAAAAAAAATATCCAACTATGTTATATACCTTTGTGGTATACCCAAAATATCCAACTATGTTATATACCTTTGTGGCTATTTTATACCTTCGATTCATGTTCTAAAATGTACTGAATATGTAACCATGTTACCCTGCATTTCAAATTTAATATTAAGCAGTTACTATTATCTACAATGAGCCCTCTGGAAGAGCAGGATAAGCTGTTAAAGGAAAAAAATATAGAAAATTCGACATTCCTAGGGAAACAACACTGACCTCATACCCCCAACTCAAATGTGTGCTTGCTGAGAACATTTGTGGGTGGAGATGAGAATAATCAAGGGAGAAACAGCTTAATCTTGTAATATCATACACACAAACAGTAGAAAAACTGAAATTAAAAAAAAAAAAAAACTGCAACGCTTTCAGGAAAAATTAAGGCAGCCGGGTTGAGCTTGCCTTCAGGACCAAGAACAGGCCAGTTACCCCAATGACACTCATACCGCTGGTAGGCTCTACCTTTTGGAACACTAACATAGGAAATCTTCTACAAGTCAACAATTTCTCTCAAGCTGTTTGGTGAGCTCAGACAGGGGCCAAAAGAGAATGGTCAGGCAGCAGTAAAGACTGTGGACACATGTAAAGTATTGACTCGAGACCGACAGTGTATATGTGTGCAAATATTTACAATGCATAGCAAAGGCCCTATTAGGCAATAACTCAAACTCTCAACAGTTTTACTGTAGTGAGGATGAAGATGGCTGAAAACAGAAGGACTACTGCCACCTGTGATATGTTGACACATATTTTTTGGCCTTTGTCCACAGTTCCTGGCTCATAGTCTACTCTGACAGTAGATTATAAAATCCTCCTCATCCCAGAGGGCTCCTGCTCCATGACCTGGAATGGATAATGCTTACAGAGGCCAAGAAAATCAGATCAGACAGGCCTTAATTGGGTTTTCTTCACCAAGTCTATTAGCATTGCCTATGCAATGAAGTCTCAAAAACGAAACACCAAAACCAAAACCCAACCACCTCAGAAAGATTGGGCTTGGGGAATTTCTTTCTAAATAGCAAAACACATGAAGGTTCCTGCAGGGCAGTACACCTGGAAAAGACAGAGAAGCTCCACACCCATTCTTCCATATATTATACTATACAGCTCTTCATATTCATATGTATCATTTATAATGTCCTTTATAATAAACCAGAAATTGCAAAGAGTATGTAGAGAAAACAAGAAAATAAAAATACAGAGAATACAAATATAGAAACTTTTTTGAAAAAAAGAGTGTATAGAGCATACTAGCTGGCAAGTCGAAAGCACAGATGTAGGGCAGCAGGGGATAGGATGGCCTGAGGACTAAGCCCTCAAATGTGTTCCATCTGCTACTACCTAATGAGGGTCAGAGGTGCACTGAATGACAGGTGTCTGGTTGGTGTTTTCTGAGGACTGACTGCCTGGCTTGGTATGTGGATCTTTACCTCTCACCTGCATCAAAAATAGTTCTGTATAGTGAGAGTTTAGTAGGAGACATTAGTGGGAGTTAGCTTTTCTCTCTATGATTACCTTACATGCTTCTAGGGAAGCTTCTAGAAGGACCCTAATGAACCCTTTCTGGTATGCCCTTGTAAGTCCATGTCCCTGAATGTAGGCTAGACGTGGACATTCAAGTCTAAAGAGTGGAGTGCATTAGAGCAGTTGCAGGTTGCAACCCCTTTCGGGGTGGCATATCAGACATTTACATCACAATTCATAACAGCAGCAAATCACAGTTATGAAGTAGCAATTAAGGAAGTTCATGGCTGGGGCCACCACACCATGAGGAACTGTATTAAAGGGTACAGCATTAGGAAGGTTGAGAACCACTGCTCTAGAGGGAGGGCCATCATTTCTGAGCTGAATTTCTAGAAGTCTGGTGTAGGTCCAGTTCACTCCTCAAAGCCAGGTATCTTAGTGTGAGTCCACTCAGAAGCCCACATTGCGGAGCTGAGAGGTTAACTGGACTAGCAGCCTCTGAGGGACTGAATGCTAAGCCACTTGTGACTATGGAAGTGGGTCTTCTTTCAGTTGAGTCCTGAAATGGCTGTAATCTCATGAGAGACCCTGAGCAGAGGAGCCAACAGACCATGGCCAAATTCCTGACCAGAGAAACCGATACTGATAGAGATAAAAGGTACTTGTTACAGACAACTCAGCTACAGGGTGATTTGTCATTCAGCCATGGTTAACTAATGCAACCCTATTATAACTGTTTTATCATACACACATATGAATTAATATTACATATATAATTATGTGTGTATATATATGCATGCATGTATGCATATATACATACATATAGTTATTATGCTTTTTTAAAGTGTTTTGAAGGCAAGGTCTCATTATGTAGCCATGGCTGTCCTGGAACTCACTATGGAGACTAGGCTGGCCTTGAACTCACAGAGATCCATCTGCCTCTATCTCCTGAGGGCTGGGATCAAAAGTGTACCACTATGTCTGTCCTATATTTATTTTCAGTAAAAACAAAATTACCTAGACATTAGTATTTGATTAAAGAAAGAGTATCTAATGATCCTCTTCAAAGGAAAGGAGTGACTTGCCCCCTTCACACATCAGCATGATTTCCACCAGCCTAGGTGTGGGACTTTCCACGTAAGAAGGTGGGCTTTGTGAGCCTCACACTCACATCTTCATCCTGGTGGGGATGGATCAATTCCACAAGCCTCTGGATGATTTTCTCTTCATTAAGCCACTAAAAAGGAGGGGGGAAAAAGTCCAGTTCAGTATCTGCTCATCTAACCAAATGGAAAAAAGTCCTTTGGTACAGCAGAAACTCATGTGCCCAGGTCTCCCAGGATAGACTCTGACATGCCTGTCTGGCATGTCCAGAAAGAACCAAAATAGTGCAATAAACTCTGGGAATAGCTCAAAGGGTTTGAATAGGTGGGCCACTGTCCATCTGTCCTAACAGTGCATACTCTCTCTGCTTTCAGCACACATCATTTCTGAAACTTAAGAGTACAGGATAAGCAGAATAAAGTTCAGAGATCTGGGGAATGTGAAAATGAGACAATCTTAGCTCCCGGTAGCATCAGAGCCTTCCTAGGATCTAGAAGAACAGAAGGACCCTGATGTGGCTGTAGAAGCACTGTAAGGGCTGAAGCTGACACTTTTCAAGGTGAAGAGCAATGAAGACCCAGTGAAATGATGTCAGGCCACAGCAGACCTGGCAGACTGGCTCTACTTTGTACTCTGCACTTCAAACTCCTCATGCAAAGATGAAATGTCCCAGCAGGGATGCTTTACAATGTGAGAAGCACAGGTGAAAGGTGAAAGGCAAAAGGCTGTGTAATCTTCTTTGGTAGTTTTAATGAGAACGGCCTCCATAGGATCTTATGTTTTAAGACTTGGTCCCAAGTTGGTGAACTGTTTGGAAAGGATTAGGAGGTGTGCCATTTTGCAGACGATTATTATTGGAAGTGGGCTTGAGGTTTCAAAATATTCTTGCCATTCCCAGTGTGCTCTATCATTGCCTTCTACCTGTGGTTCGAGATGTGAGCTCTCAAATGTTCCTGCCACCATGTATTTCATCCACCATCATGGACTCTAATCCTCTAGAACCATAAACCTAATTACATTATTTCTTTTAAATTGCCTTCCTCATGTTAGATGTGCTGGCACATACCTTAATCCCAGAACTCAGGAGGCAGATATAGATGGATCCCTGTCTGGTCTACAGAGCAAGTTCTAGGACAGCCAGGCCTACATACAGAGAAACCGTCTCAAAAAACCAAAAAGAAAAGAAAAAAAAAAAGAAAAGAAAAGAAATTGCCTTGGTCATGATGTTTGTGATGGCTATTCTTGGCTGTCAACTTAACTACACCTAGAATAAACTAAAACCCAAAAAATGGGGCACACCTAGAAAGTTTTTTTTTTTAACTTAATTTGAAGTGGGAAGATCTAGTCTAATCTGGATCTTTGCAATGTAAAGACACACCTTTAATCCAGATCTTTTGAGTTGGGAAGATCCATCTTTAATCCGGGGCATACCTTCTGCTGGAAGCTTATATAAAGGACATGGAAGAAAGAAGCTCTTCCTTTGCCTGCTTGCTCTCTCTTCACTACCAAGACCATTCCTTCACTGGCATTTAGAGTTTACTTCTCCAGAATTCCAGCATATACTGAAGACCAGCTTCATGGACTCTTAGACCTTTCATTCACAGGCAGTCATTGTTGGATTAGCTGGACCATCCCCTGTAAGTCATTCTAATAAATCACCTTTCTATAAATCTTTTTTTCTTTTTTAAAGACTTTATTTATTTTATGTCTGAGTATTCTAGCTGCATGTGCCCCTGCAGGCCAGAGCAGGACATCAGTTCCCACTGTAGATGGTTGTGAGCTGCTGGGAATTGAACTCAGGACCTCTGGAGGAGCAGACAGTGCTCCTATCCACTGAGCCATCTCTCCAGCACCCCTTTCTATAAATCTATGAGAGATTTATTCTATAAGTTCTGCTACTCTAGAGAACTCTGCCTAATACAGTGTTTGAAACCAGCAATAGAAAAGTAAATCAGCTTCCAACAAATCTCTGTGTAGCCTTGGCTGTCTTGGACTTGCTTTGTAGAGTCTTAGACTGGCCTTGAACTCACAGAGGTCTGCCTGCCTCTGCCTCCCTGAATGCAGTGGGATTAAAGGTGTGTGCCACCTCACCCAGCTATAGATTCTTTTCTTATACAATATATCCTGATTACAGTTTCCTCTCCCTTTATTCCTTCCAGTTTTTGCTGCCTCCCCTCCCCTGTGGATCCACTTCCTTTCTGTCTCTCATTAGAAAAGAACAGGCTTTTAAGAGATAACAACAAAACATAACATAAAATATAAATAAAATTAAAAAACTATTATCAGGTCTTTTATTTATTTTTGAGACAGGGTTTCACTAGTAAGTAGCCCCTGGTGGCCTGGAACTCACAATCCCACACTTGTCTCTCAATTGCTGGGATTACTGGCTTGTACCACCATGCCCAATGAGAATGGCCATTTAAACGATACTTGGTTTTCAGAATGAGAAAATGGACAAAGGTCTAATCACTTACTTTGTTTTACTTCAAAATGGGGAACAAAGCCCCACCCACAGCAGGCAGAAGCTCACCTCTAGGCTGGGTATCTTGCTCTTCCCAGAACTACTACAATGTCTTTCCCAGCAGCACAGCCTTATCCACACTCTAGATTAAGAGATGGCCCCTGCCTGAACTACAGTCAATTTGTACTTTTCTCCCAGGAGTACTTGGGTTTGGAGCCCACAACTCATTGAGCCTCTGTTCTAAGGCCTGTGTGGGAGCCTGGGTGAGGGAAAAAGGAGGGAAGTAAGCCCACTTTTGTTTCTGCAGATAGCAAGAGGCCATGTGTTACGGAGAAGAAACCTATGTACTCTTTCTTCTGAATGTGTTGAAGCAGGGCAACAGTAATAAATAGAAAATGGTGGTGCTGAGGGACTAGGTGAAGAGCCTGAGGCTGGGCCTCCGGTGCTTCCTGACCTACATAGCCTGGTCTGCTACACCTTCCCATGGGGAATGAGATGGTGCTCTCACACATTCACAAACACACTCCCTGGCACTCACATGTAGGACCTCCTGCCGGAGACCAGCTGGTTCCACACAGCTGACCAGGCGCAGCAGCAGGTCCATGAGAGCTGAGGTGCCTATGTGCTTCAGCATCAGGCTGATGAACTTGTCCTTCTTCTTCAAAAACATGATCACCTGAAATCAAACACACCTGATAAGTAAACAGAGCTGACTTCTGACAAGTGGAACACTCTTTTAAGAACTCTCCCCAGAAAGATCATTAACTTTCAAGCATACTGAGAAGAAATGATAGGAAGACCAGGTAATTGCTATATGAAAAAAAAAAATCCATCCCAAGACAGGCAGAGTCCTAGAGGCCAGTGAAGCAAGCATAGTCCAGGGCTGCTAACTGGACATCACACCTGGAGAACAGTGCAAATTACTGTGCAGGTGACTGTTGAATATGTGTTAGCTCAAGTTAGCCCAGCAGAAACACAAGGCCTAGAAAGCACAAAGCTGGGAGGTAAGACTCATTGCCCCGGGGCTACAGAGGGACCCTGTCTAAAACAAAATTGTCCTTCTACCTCCACATGTCTGCCGTGGTATGCACCTGCCTTACAACACACACACACACACACACACACACACACACACACACACACACACATACAATGATAACAAATAAGCTGTAAAACTATCACGAGAAGTTAATATACATAGCTTTATGCCAATTTGCATAACCCTTTAAAAAATAAAGAATTAAAAACAACAATTAGCCAGTGTGGTGGCCTATGCCTTTAATACCAGCACTTGGGAGGCAGAGACTGGAAGATCTTTCTGAGTTCAAGGCTATCCCGGTCTACATAGTACATTCTTAGGACAGCCAGAGCTACATAAAAAACAGATTCTGTCTCAAAAAAAAAAAAAAAAAGGAAAACAAACAAATCTAATTAACCAGAGTAGGGTACATGCCATTAATCCTGGCCCTTGGGATATAGAGAAAGGAAAATCAGAAGTTCAAAATCATCCTCAGCAATATAGCAAGATCAAGCCAAGCCTGGGCTGCATGAGACTCTAAATAAAATAAATAAGGAAACACTGTTAAAAGGGGGATGATTCCAGTGCGCAGTAGATAAAAGCACTTGCCGTCAAGCCTGACAACCTGAGTTTGATCCCCAGAATCCATATAAAGGAGGAAAAAGAAAAGTGACCCCATAAAGTTGTCTTCTGACTTCCATATGCACACCCCTCCTTCAGCATCATGTATACACATGCAATAACAATAAATTTTAAAATATTTCCATTTTTAATTTTTCATTATTTATTTATTTATTTTACATCGTGACCTGTTTCCCCTCCCTCCTCTCCTCTCAATCCTCCCAACCCCAACTACTCCTCCTCTGTTTCTCTTTAGAAAAGGGCAGGCTTCCCATGGCTATTAACCAGCCGTGGCATATCAAGCTGCAGTAAGACTAGGCCCCTCTTCTCCTATTAAGGCTTGATGAGGTAACCCAGTTGCAGGAAAGGGCCCCAAAGGCAGACAACTGAGTCCCCACAGCCAAATTTTCTTAATTTTTATTCTGATTTATGTGTATGGATGTTTTGCCTGCATGAATGTCTGTGCACCATGTTTATAGGATGTTCCATCTCCTGGGACCAGAGTTACAGTTTTGAGCCACAATGTGAGTGCTGGGACTTAAACCTAGATTCTCTGAAAGAGCAACCAGTGTTCTTAACCCTTGAGCCATTTCTCCAGCCACTTTAAAAATCTTTTTTTTTCCTTTTTTTTTTTTTCAAGACAGGGTTTCTATGTGTAGCCTTGGCTGTCCTGGACTCACTTTGCAGATTAGGCTGGTCTTGAACTTACAGTGATCCACCTGCCTCTGCTGGGATTACAGGAGTGCACCACTGAACCAGCTAAAAATACTTTTAAATATTATCTAGGGGCTGGAGAGATGGCTCAGTGGTCTGTTTTTCCAAAGGACTAAGGTTCAATTCCCAGCACCCACATGGCAGCTCACAACTGTCTGTAATACCAATTCCAGGGATCTGACGCCTTCACACTAATGCACATAAATAAAATAAATTATTAAAAAGTGCTAAATTGGCAAATAGATAATATGACTCAAGATGAACATCCAAAGAAATACAACTCAAGATACACAGGGCTCTCCAGGCTCTAATGGTTTTGCCAGAAAGTTCTACTAGATAACTAAGAAAAACAACACTATCTTTTAGAGACTCTTAAAGAGAACATGAAACATCGGATTATTTCCCATATAATTGTTATGACATTAAAATATTGAGTCTGAAGCCCGATAAAGGCACTGTAAAAATAGGAAATTAAAAGCCATATTACCAAAGACAGCACAAGACTCAACAATTAACAAAAAATAGAGCCAGGTATGGTGGCACATGCCTTATATCCTAGGGTTTAGGAGGCAGAGGCAGGTGGATTTCTGAATTCTGAGTTCTGACTTCCAGGCTAGCCTAGTCTATAGAATGAGTTCCAGGATGGCCAGATCTACACACAGAAGCCCTGTCTCACAAAAAAAAGGGAAAAATACAATAAACTTTCAAGATATGGGTCAAGAAAGCTTACGTTACTTTTTGTTTGTTTCTATACCAGTGATTAAACCCAGGACCTTGTACATGTTAAACAATACTACTGAGACGTAACTATCAGGTTCTTAGGTTTGAATTTTCTATTACATTTTTTAAAATATTTATCTTATGTAGCAGGGTATGCGTCTGCCACAGCGCATGTGGCAGTCGTCTGGGTCCCCGGGAGTAAACGCAGGCTGTCAGACTTGGCAGCCAGCATCTTCACCCATGAGCCATCTCTCCGACCCCTTAGGCTTGATCTTTTTAAAAAGTTGTAGAGCTGCAGGTATAGGTCCGTTGGTAGCAGGCATGAGCCCCTGAGTTTGATCCCCAGCAACATGTAAACAGATGCCGTGCACAGGCCTATAATCCCAGCACTCAGCAAGTAGAGGCAGGAGTTCAAGGCTAGCCTCAGATATACAGTGGGCTTGAGGTCAGCCTGGGATACAGGAGAACTTGTGGATATGATCGAAATACATTTCATACAAATGTGAAATTCTCAACGAATAAATTTTTAAATTCAAATTAAAACACTATAACCTTACAATAAACCTTACGATAAACATCTTAATTATGAAAAATTTCTTCAAAGTTAATAAATAAGAAAAGGAAATTAACATCTCTATTCAATATTGTACTAAAGGCTCCAGCCAATGCAGTAAGACACAAAAAAGAAATAAAAGGTAAACTATAAAGCACAAAACAAAACTGTCATTACTCTGGGGCAGAGAGATAGCTCTGAGGTTAAGAGCTCTTGTTCTTGCAGAGGACACAAGTCCAGTTCCCAGCACCCACATGTCAGCTCACAACAATCTATTAACTCCAGTCCTACAGGATCAAACATCCTCCTCCAACCTCCAAGGGCAGCAAACATGCATGTGGTGTATATACATACATGCCATTGAAACCCTCATACACATAAAAGTTAAATCATCATTAATCACAAATAAATCAAAAGGATATAAATTATCAGAATTAATAGTAGCTTTATTTATCATCAACAAAAAGGGAAAACAGAAGTAGACATTCTTCAACACAGGAATAGCTAATCTGTGGTTCATCCACACCATGCAATATGAAATAGCAATAAAAAAGGAATGAATCATTGATACACACAACTTGGATGACTCTACAGGAAATTACACTCAGTGAAAATGCTAAATCCTGAAATCTACAAAACACAAGGCTGGGGATATAGCTTAGTGGTTCAGCTCTTGCCCTGAGTTCAGTTTCTAACTTCATAAAATAAAAAATATACAATTTGACTTTGAGGTCTGCCTGGTTTATATAGCAAGTTCCAAGGTAGCCAAGGCTACATAGAGAGACCCTGTCTCAAAAAAAAAAAAAAAAATACACAGGTTAGATACCAGTATAACTCCTAACAATGAATAAGGAAAAAGCAATAGTATATCAGAATAGGCTCAGCCGATCCTTCTTGTAACCAAAAGCAGATAATACTGTACTAGCTAGTTTGTTTTGTTTTGTCTTATTTGTTTGTTTTCCAACCTGACAGTTATCACCATCTGAGAGTCAGGATCTCAACTGAAAAAATGCCTGCATAACATCAGCCTGTAGGCAAACCTGTAAGGCATTTTCTTAATTGATGATCAATATGGGGGGCCCAGTGCATTCTGGGTGGTGCCACCTCTGGTAGGTGGTCCTAGGGTATTTAACAAAACAAACTAGTAAACCAGGAGGGAGCAAGGCAGTAAGATGTGCTCCTCCACAGCTTCTGCATCAGCTGCTGCCTTGAGCTCCTGCCCTGATTTCCTTTGATAATGGACTGGGATGTGGAATTGTAAGTTGAAATAAACCCTTTCCTCCCTAAGTTGCTTTTGGTGTTTTATCACAGTATTAGAAACCCTAAGACAGAAACTGTTATCAGGTTTTCAGGATATGGTTGACAGATCTGCCATGTCTTTGGAAGGGTTATGGGAAAACTTTGATACCTTGGGCTAGAGAAGCAATGTTCAAAACTTGGTGAGTTGTTTTGTGGGCACTTAGAAAGTAAGGCTGAGGGCAGGGCAGAAATAGAGGCCTGTGAAGGGGGAACTTTGAGAGTCCCTGAAAGCCTCAATCGGGCCATCAAATGTTTTGAGTTAAGAATTTGTGGTTCTGATCAGCTGGGGCTGAAGAATCGGCTGTGAACAATAAGAGACCAGAACCACTGACAAAAGCAAAGCCTTTGCTTCACTGGAACAATTGGTGCTGATTAGCTGGAGCTAAGAAGTCAGCTGTGGTTAAGAAGGGATCAGCATCACTGAGGCATTATCTTCTGGGAAGTGGTTCTTCATGGTCCATGCATGGAACCTTGTGCCAGCAGTAGAACTTGGTAATGTGTAAGAGTGTCCCAGGTGGCACTTTTTGTTGTTGTTTGTTTTTGTAGTGCATATGGATGTTAGGCCTACAGGTATGTCTCTGGACCAGAGTACAGTGTCCACAGAGGACAGAAGAGGGTGTCAGAGTCCCTGGAACTACAGTTACAGGTGTTTGTGAACCTCCAAGTAAGTGCTGGGAATGAAACCCAGGTCCTGTGGAAAAGCAGCCAGTGCTCTTAACTTCTGAGCCATCTCTCCAGCCCCTGGAATTGGTTTTAAAGGCATGAAGGGGTCAAGAAGAGACATTAAGGTTTAGCAGCATATGACAGGGACAGTCCCTGAAGAGAATCTGAAAGAGGCTAGTTCTTACCCTGACTTCCTTTGATGATGGACTGTGATAAAGAACTATAAGCTAAAATAAGCCCTTTCCTCCCAGTTGCTTTTGGTCTTGGTGTTTCATCGCTGTCCTGGACACCTGAACTAAGACAAAGACCATTTTGAGATAATAAAAGCAACTTGTACACTGCAGGATATTTAACAAAATTAAGGCATTATTGTTCATGTTTTAGGTATGATAATGGTATAATTGTGGCTATACCTATAAAAGACATTACATACTAAAATACACACAAAATGATCTGATATCTGTAATTTTCTTCAAAATAATGTGATGAGGTTGACAATAATGAGATTCAGAAAAAAAAAAAACATTGGTCATAACAGATAGTGTGGAAGTCCAATATAGAGACACAGGGGCTTAAAAATTAATTTATATACCTTACAGCGGTGTTAAAGAATTTGCAGTCCTTTCCCTAGCAGTCCTGTTCCTGAGCCAGTCTATACTTTGAGGAAAGCTCACTGCAGCCCTGTCTGTCATGGCCAGCCCTAGGAACAGACCAGCTCCTGGTGACTGCACCAAATTTTGATGGAGCAATCCGAGGGACTGCGAAAATGAAGCAGGTGTTGCTATAGAAAGAGACTTACAAGAGTTATATATACATGAGAAAAACAATTTCTAGAACTCGGGATGATACCATCATGTGAAACTTAACTATGTGCTCTCTACTGAAGAAGCTAGCCTGGCAGTGGAGGCGCATGCATTCCCGGCATTCTGGAGGCATAGGCAGGCAGATTTTTATGAGTTTGAGGCCAGCCTGAGAAAGAGAAACTGCGCCTCAAAAAATAAATAAGTAAATAAAAGTTACTCTAAGGAGTACAGAACCTAAGTATTTTAGTTTTACTTGAATTCCACATAAATGTGCTACATTTATGTGGCACATTTATTGTCAGCAAAATATTTTTTTTCTTTTTGAGACAGGGTTTCATGGTGTACCCCTGGCTGTCCTGAGATTCATTCTGTAGAGAAGGCTGGTCTCAAACTCACAGAGATCCACCTGCCTCTGCCTCCTGAAGGCTGAGATTAAAGGCGTGTACTGCTGCCACCACCACCACCTGGTAATAAACTCTTTAAGGAGTTCATTTCATATTACTTGAATGCAGTGGGCACTGGATAAAGAAAGAAAAGGGAAATATATGAGATGGTAAAATTGTAAAGGAAATCTTAGAGTGGCAAAAAAATATGATCCTTTGACGATAAATTAGGAGATTCACACACCCAGCTATTGGGCTGCAAGATCTAGGCACAAGAGGTCTCTACAGAGCTCTCACAGCACCTGTCTTCTACTGGTGCAACTGCTGACATTCCTTCCCTACAGTAATGCCACCGCCACTGCACACACAGCGGGAAGGGGATATGCAGGCGCACACACACACACATACACACCCAGACATATGGCACTGTCACTCTTCCCTCTGCTGTTTCTAAACAAATGTGAGATGACACAGTCCTCTGGAGCCCCAGAACTCAAGACGTAGACAAAGGTTTGTCTGCTCGATGGCTACTTGATAGGGACAAACAATTACAGCTAATATTTTAGGAATATAATACCACCTAGCAATATTTTAAAAAGAAAAAAATCCTTATATAAACAGATCCTGGAATATTAACAGAAGAAATTATCTGATATCTAAGACATGTGTTGAAATTATCCAATGGGGTTGGGTGAATGAGGTGATGAGACACAAGCTGAACGCAGCAGGAGGCACGAGCTGCCGTTACACTTCCCCTAGTCACACCCTCACTTAAACTCAAGACAGTACAAGGATGGCACTACAGGTGAAATAATAGTTTGTTTTCCTACAAAGCCTAACTCTAATATTATCTTTGAAGCAATCATTGTTTTGGCCACACAGACATGCCACTCACAAAGACCCAAAACGTAGATGTTCCAATCCCTCCACATGAAGGCATGTTATAGGACCTTATGTTTATGCCTGATTTGGGGCTTGCAAAACACCCAGAAAGGGCAACAAGTCCTGCTTATTCCAGAGCTGGCTACTAGAAACCTCTTTGGAAAGCCACATTACTTAAACGACAGTTCACATATCTCCACCCATACTGTTCATCTGTGTTCTAGTAGGCAAACAAAATGCTGTCCCAAGAGCCTGGTGACAGTTTCACTGTGTCAGCAGTGGTTGTCCAATACATTTGGCTTCACACATTACCTGTTCAGTCTTCCTTGCGATAAGATTGCCAATGGTCTTGCTGAAGAAACTGGCAAGCAGAGGGTTGAGTGGTGGCTCCTGGTCCAGGAAGTCATACAGAAGGTTCAGCAGACTCTCATCCTCACCTAGCCTGTCGCTGATCTGTGGCACATCACAAGTCAGAAGCTCACAGGCTGTGTTTGGATATCTAGAAGGGCACAGTGCAAGCACTGAAGGTGAAATTAGACTTCTCAGACCCACATCAGGGCTGGAGAGATCTCAGTGGTTAAGAGAATGTGCTGCTCTTCCAAAGGACCTGAGTTCAATTCCCAGAACCCATGCCAGGTAGCTGAGCTACCTGTAACTACAGCTCCAGGGAATCTAACACCCACAAACATAGCACACTCTCATAGACACACACATACACATGATTAAAAACACACATTAGGGCTGGAAAGATGGCTCAGGAGTTAAGAGCACTGGCTGTTCTTCCAAAGGTCCAGAGTTCAATTCCCAGCAACCACATGGTGGCTCACAACCATCTATGATGAGATTGGGCCCTCTTCTGGCCTGTAGGCACACATGCAGACAGAACACTAGAAATAATAAAGTCATTTTTTAAAAAATAAACACATTTTAAAAAAGGAAGCAGACCCATTTGTAATAAAAGCAAATTACTGAACAGACCTCAAAATAGAAAAAAGATAATACTCTGTGACAACTGAAATTTTTGCCTATTGGAACTTCAGAGTTCTTAACATGTCTTTTATTGGTTCCATACAACCTATACTCTGATACTCTACATTTTCTGACTCTACTTCCATTCTGTAAGTAACTTTAATTTTTAAAATTTATTCTTATTTTGTGTGCACTGATGTTTTGCCTTCATGTATGTCTGTGTGAGGATGTCAAATCTTAGAGTTACAAACAGCTGGGTATAACTGCTACATGGGTGCTGGGAATTGAACTCAGATCCTCTGGAAATGCACTCACTGCTCTTAAACACTGAGCCATCTCTCCAGCCCCTAATTTTTTTTTTTTTTAGACAAGATTTCAAGTAGCCTGTACTGGCCTCAAATCCATTATGCAGCCAAGGATGACCTTGATGACCTTATCCTCCTGCCTTTACCTCCCAACTGCTGTGATTACAGGTATACACCACCAGGCCAGATTTATGTAATCTTCCTTTTCTCTTGGATTCTCTCTGCAAGCCTTCATGCTCATGCTCATCTGCCAGGATGCTCCTGCTTGACTGTCAGTGAAGCAAAGTCCCAGTCATCTTCATATTTCTCCTTTAAAAATTGCCTTTCCAAGCCAGGTGTGGTGGTGCATGCTTTTAATCCCAGCACTCAGTGAGGCAGAGACAGGTGATCTCTTAGTTTGGAGACGAGCCTAGTCTCCAAATGAGTCCAGGACAGCTAAGGCTATATAGAGAAACTCTGCCTTGAAAAAACAAACAAAAAATAAAATACAATAAAAAATTGCCTTAACTCTTTCTCCCCACTTTCTGTACCTTCAAGTCAGTAAGCACAGACCAAAACTGTTGTAAACTGAAGAAATACTGTGTCTGCAGCTATAAAATGGGACCAGCTGTGAGACACTGTGCACGTAATTTTCTGTTAAGAAATGCTACTATGTGCAAATGTACCCTTCATTTGATGAAAATGACTATAGACAAAATAACTCTTAGCTCATTATGTGTGCTTCCATGCTATCACTTTCTTCTTTAGCAGCTGGTCTTCACGGGATAGAAGACATTCAATGTCCCAGAAACAAACAGTTCGCCATTAACTATGGGATGTGGGCGCTCCTCAGCTAGACAAGAGGAGCAGCTTTCAAGCCATGAAGGACCTGTCAGTCACAGAGGCCCAGCGGGACCTGCAAGACAAGCAGGCCTTTGGACAGGACAATAGCGTAGTCAGTGTTCAGGGTACCAAAGGCTGGGTGTTGGGGTAGGGAGCCCTATGGGTTAAGTCAGTTCTGGGATTACTTCTTCCCAGCTAACATCTCTGGCCTTCAGTGTCCTTGTCTGTGAAGTGGGGCAGCCAGGGCCCCACCTCATGGGATTGCTGTATCCTTGCACAAGTGTTAGTGTAGGGGATGATACATGACCGCTGAGGACAGGGAGACTAGAGAGAGTAGAAGTAGGAGAGTAGGAGAAGAGGGCCAGTGAACAGCAGGGAAGGCCACAGTGATGTTCTACCAGATCCAAACAAGACACAACATGCTGGGGCAGCACAATAAGTCAAATCCTGTGGTGCGAGGAAGCACTGTGAGACATTGCAGAGCCCAGGGAATAATCATCTTGTCTACACAGAGAGCAGATGGAACTAGAAAAACTAATACTTTCTTTATTATTATTTTTGGACACAGGGTGTCTCTACATAGCCCTGACTGTCCTGGAACTCTCTCTCTGTAGACCAGGCTAGCCTCAAGACTCACAGAGATCCACATGCCTCTGTCTCTGGAATCTGGGATTAAAGGCATATGCCACCATTTCTGTCCAAAAGATACAATTCTACATTTAAGTAGGACTAATTTCCCCTCTTTTTCTTTATATTTACTTTACAATTAATTATTGACAAATAGGAGCCGGGAGTGGTAGCACACGGCTGAAATCCCAGCAATTGGGGAGACAGAGACAGGCAGATTTCTGTGAATTCAAGGCCAGCCTGGTCTACAAAGAGCATCCAGGATAGCCGAGGCTACACAGAGAAACCCTGTCTCCAAGAATAAAACAAAGAAGTTGACAAATAGGCATTGTTCTAGTAGTTTAAAAAACTTAAAAAAGTAATAGGGGTTTTACTTAAACATGACAAATGGTGCACGCGAATTTGTGGATGAATATTACCTCTTCAGCTCCTATTCAAGTAATGCAGAGTTAAACAGACAAGAAGAGCACGTGGTTGCAAAAACACTGTAGTAGAGTGGCTGCCTGGTGTCTAGCATGCAGGCAGCTCTGAAAGGAATCCACGTACCACATAACAGGCATGGGATGGGAGAGAAGGGAAGAGAAGAGGAAATGATACAGGATTAGACCAAGTCAGGGAAAGCAGAATCTCAGATGCTCAGAGAGCAGTGAGGGTGAGAGTTCAAGCTACACAACTCCAGAGTGCTACAGATATACATGCAGGCAAAACACCCATACACATTTTTTAAAAATACATCCGGTATTTGCATGAATATGCGTGCAGCCCACAACTGACCTGATGAATCTGCTTCATCCCAGCTGCTTACTTACTATGTATCAGGCTCCCGGGAGCTATGTGTGTCCTCACTGCTGTCTCTGCTTCAGCTTAGAGCTCACACATTAGTAATCCCTCCCAGACTCTGACTCTACAAGTCTCTTGGTCATTAATGCTGTTCTGAGAATCCCTGTCTTGACTCAAAATCCCCTCTCCCTACCTGTCACTTTCTTAATTTGTCACCCAAACTGGGAGACCCTTAGAAATAAGATGACGGGTGGGCTGTGAATAGTGACACTGAGACCACGACAGCCTCCAGCTATAGTTACACTATCCATAAAGCTATAGCTCCTCTGACAAGGCCTATGCTCTTTCTAAGCCTCCATTTCCTATCTTGTCATGTGATTACCCTAGAGGAAGAACCCACAGCCACTGCAGGCTACCTAATCATCCAGGCCTGCCCTGTTTCCTTCCAAAAGACAAAGGTCAGTGAAGATGTGTTGTGAAGGGCCAAATTAAAAATATTTTTGTTAGTTTCTTTTTCAACTGGACTCTGATTGTATATCGATTAGTGTGGCATGCCAAATGACACCAAAAAAGTCATCAACATGTGTAACAAAGTACTTTCCCTTTAACTTTTTCAAACATTTTAAAATGTAAAAGCTGCCATGCATGAAGTGTATGTGCAATTCTAGCACTTGAGAGGCTGTGGCAGGAGGACTGAAGGTAGACTACTATATGGGACACAGCAAGTCTTTGTGTGAAGGGAGAGGGAGGGAGGGAGGGAGTACAACAGCACATTATAACTTACTGAGCCTACCCCAAGGCCTTTCTTCCACATATATGTACAGTACACCTCCTCCTCGTAAGCAGCTCGGTCTGTCTCTGTTGTGTCACCTGTCTTTAGCTCTCCCCAGAAATACTATGGGCCACATGGCCTATTCATGGAGCCAAATCTTCAAAGCCAGAAGGCTTGGCCTGACTTGTCCTCCTTGTTACCCAAAGTATCCTCCCAGTTCAGACTCTGCATTTACTCAACACTCCAACCATCTATGATGACATTGTCCCTTCCCTTTTGCCATCTCCCAACATTCTGGTCAAACTTGAAAACAAAACATTTTAGGAAAAATTTCTAAAGATATAGTAATACTAATGATAATGACATACTTCCTCTGAATTTAAACACCCCAAAGTAAAGCATTTCTGGAGGCTCAGAAGTCGGCCCTCATACCTCTAGCCTGTGGCACAACTCTGCAATCTCAGCATATTCTCACTCAAATTGTTCCAATGTGTCAACTTAATATAAACTCACTTATAACTCAGAATGAGAAAACACATACACAAGAGATTTGAAATTCTTAAACCTCACAAACAACAAACCGCACGATGGCCTCCCTTCTCAGATGGTGATGACCTGGCTCTAGCTGTCCTCAGACACCACCCACAGCCTCCCTAAGTGCTACCCAGCTGGCCTGCGTAACAGCCTCAGTACATACTTGAATCGGACCTTCTCTTCCATGTCCAGGGGTGGGTCCTGTGTGATGAGGCTCACCAGCTCCTCCATACACTGCTGCTGGCACAGGAAGTCCAGTAACTTCTGGTTCTGAGCCTTACACTCTTGCAGGATGTCATCTTCGTCCATTAACTCCTGCAGTGTCACATGTTCCTTGTCGAGGAGCTTGTCAACGTGGGATGTGGTATTCAAGTCAAATTTCCAGAACATGATGGCCACAAAGCTGTAAGCAAGGACAAAAGAGGAACTCAGCATCCCTACTGTATGAATCCGCCTCAGCCTAGCCAAAGTCCAAGAAACTCATCCCCAATATACACTGTTGCTCTTAGCTAGACCCCTTTTCTCTGGGACCCACAGACTCTCCATGTCCCTGTCACCTACCTACCTTCTCTCCCCCCACAGTGCTTAACTCCCTAGAGGCTCTCATTTTGATTTTGGCTCTATGAGGCCCACACATCTGTCTCCCAAGTATCAGCACCAGGAATGACCCTCCATCCTAAAAAAGGTAACTCAAACTAGAAACCCTTCCCAGATCTAATCCCCTCCCGAATGAACACTGAGTATGTATTCCTGGAAGACTCTCAGATCCTATACTCAGCAAGCTAAACTGAAGACAGCTGGTTTTGCTGGATGCTGCCATCTGCCATCTAGTCATCAGTTTACTGTGGCCATCTTGCTGAATAACATTGAATTACCCATGAGACAACCATCTCCTTCACACGCATACAAACTAAGCGTAAAGTCTTGCCACAGCAATCTGAAAATCACACTAACCTGGCCCTTCCTTTGCCTCACCAACCCTTCTTCCAGCTTTTCTGTCATGCCTACATGAGGCTGTCCATCCCAGTGAGGCTCACTGTTAGTATGCAGACCATGGCAAGTTAACCAACAGTTTTTACTCTTAACAACAACAACAAAAAAAAAAACAACAACAACAACAACAACATGAGGGCTGGAGAGATGGCTCAGTGGTTAAGAGTCTTGGCTGCTGATCCAGAGGAATTGGGGATTTCTAGAACCCACACAACCACTCACACCAGTCCCAGGGGATATAATGCTATCTTCTGACCTCTGCGGGCACAGAATATGGTATACAAACATGTATACATACATAAAATAATTTTTTGAGACAGAATCTTATTATGTAGCTCTGGATGGCCTGGAACTCATTATGTAGAGTTCCAGACTGACCTCAAACTCACTGAGATTAAAGATGTGTGCCACCACAGCTGGTGCTAAAATAAACTTTAAATGAAACAAGCAAACCAACCAACCTAAAAGACTGGCTGCAGTTCTTAAATGTGTTTGCCTGTTTGTGAATCTGAGCTACCTGTGGATCCCTGACACAACAATCTCTGTTTTATATGACTGTTATATATTCAATTTATTTTCAAGAAATGTATAAAAGTCAATTAACTGAGAAAGGTAGGTGTGTGAGTGTGTAGGTGTGGTCTTTTTCAACATATTATTCTGGAAAACTAAATATGCACAAGAAAACTGAAGTTCAACCCTTACTTCACACCAGACCCCAAATTAACATGATATACATCACAGGTTTAATCATACAATCTCAACTAAAAAGTCTAAAAGACAGTGCTCTGGGGCTGGGGCCTGTCTCAGTGGTAGAGCCATTGTCTACATATACAGGCCATAAAGTTTGTTTCCTAGCACTACAGAGGCAGAAGGTGGGATAGAAAGGATGACTCAGTGACTAAAGGCACTTATCACTACACTGGACAATGTGAGTAAAAGGAGAGGAACATTCCCACATTAATGCACACATACATACACAGAGAGAGAGAGAGAGAGAGAGAGAGAGAGAGAAAGAACACATATAAATGTGATATCCTCCAGACATGGCAGTGCACATCTTTAACAGTACTTGGGAGGCAGTAGCAGGTAGATCTCTGTGAATTTGAGGCCAGCCTGGTCTATGTAAAGAGTTCCAGACCAGCCAGAGTCACATAATGAAACTACCTCAAAACAACAACAAGATGTGACTTGACCACCTGTTTTAAAAAGAAAGAGAGAAAACAAAACTTGGAGGTTCATAAGATTAAACATAATTTATGGAAGAAAAAGTACTAAGAAAAAAAATGCTAAATAAGACCTTCCACAGAAGTGTGAACTCTGAGACCCAGCGAAATGACTCAGTGGTTAAGAGTGCTTGCTGCCAAGTCTGACAACTTGTGTTCAATCCCTGGGACCCATATCATAGGAAAGAACTGAGTGTCACTTGTCCTCTCTGACCTCTTCATGTGTGCTATTTACACAGCACAGCACAGCGTGCGCGCGCGCACACACACACACACACACACTCACCAATAAATGAAACTAAACTTTGGGGCTCATAGAGATAAGAAAACAATTTGTGAAAGGAAAAGTAATAAATTAGACCCCCACAAATTTATAACCTTCTGGAGAAACCAATGTGGTTCACTGGGTATGAGCTGTCGTGGCCTGACAATGAGTTAAATAGTAGAAACCCAGAGAAGCCAGTTCCTTCAGGTTGTCCTCTGACCTCCAGTTATGTGCTGTAACATGAGCAGGATACCCACCTCACTAAATAATAAGAGAAAAAAGGAGCCAGGAGGTGTGGCACATGCCTTTAATCCCAGCACTTGGGAGGCAGAGGCAGGTGGATCTCTGTGAGTTTGAGGCCAGCCTGGTCTATAAAGTGAGTTCCAGGACTGCCAAGGCTGTCATACAGAGAAACCCTGTCTCAAAAAGGAGGGGGGGTGTTAGGGAGAATTTCTGGAATCAGTAAGATGGTTCATCAGGCAGAGGACTTGCTGCTAATAACCTGAGCTCAATTCCTAGGACCCATATAGTATAAGAACCTATTCTCTGAAAACTTGTCCTCTGATCTCCACAAATATATCACAGCATATACATGGAATAAATAAATGTAAAAAACTCAACTTCTTTATACTATTAGTAAAACAGAAATATAAGTCACAAACTGGGACAATATATATAGTTCAGACAAATATATATTTAGTTCTGACATATAATCTGAAAAGCTACTCATATTCACATCATAAAAAAATTTTTTTATACCTCAGTTATAAAAAGATAAAGCATTACTTTTAAAAATTGGAGATAGCTTTAATCCCAGCACTCAGGAGGCAGGGGGAGGCAGATCACTGAATTTGAGGCCAGCCTGGTTTACAAAGAGAGGTCCAGCACATCCAGGGCTATACACAAAAACTCTTATCTCAAAAAAACTAACAAAAAATTGGAGATATTTCATTTTAAAATATATTTAAAAAATGCATGCTAATTTACACCTTTTATCCCAGAATAGGATGCTGAGGCAGGAGGACCATGAATCTGAAGCCATCCTTGGCAACACGTAAGATCCTGCTTCAAAACAAAACAGAAAGCCAGCCAGTGTCAATAAGATCACTATTGCAGTCACCAGTGAACCGCAGTGAGGCTCCATCACATACCTACCACAATGACTAGGGTCAAAAAGCCACCCATGAGCTGATGAGGACACTGACAACTGAAACTCCCATCCATTTCTACTCTAAAAGGAGTCTGACAGCTTTTTATAGTTAGGCATACCATCTACCAATTCTACTTTCAGGTCCAACATAAGAAAAATTAAATTCTGCATCTATACAAAGACTGAGTGAAGGTTGGCAGCCACCTAATTCACAGTGGTTACACACAGGAAACAACTCAAATGCCGATTAACAGGTGAGTGATCTCCCCATACAATAGAATATTACTCACTACATAGAATAGGCCCAACACAGGTGAATGACAGGGCATGAAGACCAATACTAAATAGTTCCATTTACATGGAAATTCAGAAAAAGTGTAAAACATACCTGGGGCAAAGAGAGTAGAGGTTGCTCAGGGCCAGGGATGTGGCATAGAATAAGGACAGGAGGGCGTTGGTGGGAAACATAAAGGCTAGGGTTAAAGTCGGGTCTTGAACGTGGTAGTACGTCTACCACAATTTATCTTATAGAACTGTGTCTTAGGGCTTCTACTACTGTGATAGAACACCATACTTATAAGCAATTTTTGGAAGGAAAGTTGGTTTGTTTTTTGTTTGTTTTTCCCCCATCACAGTTCATCGGAAGTCATGGCAGGCACTGATGCAGAGGTCATAGAGAAACACTGCTTTCTGGCACACTCCATCTTCGTTTGCTCAGTTTATTCTCTTATATGCTTTGGGTACAGCCTTAGCGCCTTCTATACCGGAGCTGCTGTGTACTGACATTCAGGAAAAAACTCCCAGATTTACAATTTTCAAGACTAATGGTCTCTTTTTAATTTTTTTAATTTAATTTGATCTTATGTGTATTGGTGTGAGGATGTCAGATCCCTTGTAACTGGAGTTACAGACAGTTGTGAGCTACCATGTGGGTGCTGAGAATTGAACCCAGGTCCTTTGGAAGAGCAGACAATGTTCTTAATCTCCAGCCGCTAATGGTCTCCTCCTCCTCCTCCTCCTCCTCCTCCTTCTTCTTCTTCCCCCCCCCCCCCCCCCCCCCGCAAGACAGAATTTCTCTGTGTAGCTCTGGCTATCCCGGACTTCTTTGTAGACAAGGCTGGCCTCAAACTCACAGAGATCCACCTCTGCCTTGCAAGTGCTGGGCTTAAAGGTGTGCACCACCATAGCCTGCCTCCTAATGGTCTCTTCTCAGTCACAACTAACTTCTCACCTCCAGCTAACCAGCATCAATTATCCCATCAAGCTGGGCACTGTGGCACTGGGCCTGTAATCCCAGCACTCAGGGAGGCAGAGGCAGTAAGATCTCTGTGAGTTTGAGGCCAGTATGGTCTACAGAGTGAGTCTAAGATAACCAAAGCTACACAGAGAAACCCTGTCTCAAACACACGCACACACACACACATGTTTCACTTCAGTGGTTCTGATCTCTTGTTAATTACAGCCAACTCTTCAGCTGCAATTGACCAGAAGCACAGATTCATAATTCAAAATATCATATAAATGGCCTTGAGTCTCTACTTCCCTCTGAAACTTTACAAGCCAGGCCTCATCACCTGTATTGGTCTCATCATTATCTTCTAAGTACCTACAGAACAGCCCATGGAGCTCTGCACACTCAGTGGCTTTTCCAGCCCCAAGTTCAAATGCTACCAACAAGCATCTCAGAAACACATGGTCAAAACTTTCATTGCAATACCCTGTGTCTTGGTACTAATCCATTTTAGTAAGGATTTCTAATGATGTGACAAAAC